CAGGACTGTAAGGGGTGAGTGCCTGGATTGCTGAGTGCTATGGACCCAATCCTATGGTGCTCTGAGGCTCTCTTCTCAAAGCAAAGTCTTTCACCTTTACAGTTTTGAAGCTGCAACGGCTGGAGTCCAGCTGGTTCTTACGATGTCCTCAGGCCATCTTTTCTATTGTCCTGCTCCTTTTCAGCAAGTTTTCTGCTCCATTTTTGCAGTCCACAACTTTACCAGAGCTTCCCTTCTGTCCAATCTTAAAATGTTTTAAATCATTCTACTGGGCCCTTCGCTGTTAAATCTCTACCTAGATCTCATTAAAAGCTCCCAATAGTATCCATGCCACTATCTGAATGTTGAACTGCTTTGAAATTTCTTCCAGCAGATAAACTAGTCCAGTGCCCCTAATCTTAGTCTCTTGCAAAGCCTCTGCACAAAACCAAACTTCAGACAAAGTTTTTGCCAAAGCATAACACACATGGTCTGGAATCCAAAAGCCAGTGAAGTCCTCATTTGTAACTGAAACCGACTGAGCCTAGTCTTTACCAGGCTGCATTTCTATCACCATTCTGGTCTTCTGAGTTCTGACCAAAATCTCCCACCAAGTTCAGCTGATAGCATTCCACTGCAGGTGGAATTCTTCAGGTGGCTTCTCGAAACCTTATTTAAGCCACAAGCTTTCCACAAGCCAGTTCTAAAGACTTCTGAACCACATGGTCAAGTAATAACACAGCGATGGCCCTATTCCCAGTACCAAAATCTTAGTTACTTTTCTCATGGCTGAAACAATATACCTGATACATAATGTTAAAGGAGGAAAGGCTTATTTCAGCTCAGAGTTTGTAGTGGTTTCAGTCCATAGTAAGCTGGCTCCAAGGCAGGGTGGCAGGGCGGAAGGGAATCACAGAGCAGTCAGAATGCTGCAAGAGGCAAGCAACAACAGCAGCTGCAGGCCTGCCTTCCCTCTATCCCTTTATATACCATCCAGGCTTTAAACTCATTGATCGGTGCTAGTCACACCTCAGAGGAGGGCTTTCATGATGCACCCCATTAATCACAGTATCACATCCTTTAATCCACATTCACACACTCTAATCCATCCATCTTCAAAAGCTCCCCCCGACCACATGTGGCTTGGGATGGACATCTGCATACAGCCATAACAGGTACCAAATTTCATGTTGCATTTGCCTTGTACTCCGTACCTTCACAGTCCAAGATTGTGTTATAAAATCTAGGAATTTCCTATCTTTCCTAAGTACGGCCCAAAGCCCTAGACTTTATAACACAAATAGACTCTGAAAGGTACAGAGGAAAATATACTGCTTGTGAACCAATCAAGTATCTTATCTTCCTTTTCTTCTCAAAACTTCATTCCTGAAATCATTTATAGTATTTTTTTTAAAGTTGTTGAATCAGTGAATACAAAAATATTGACAAAGGTCTTCTTCCAATTTTCTTTGTTTCTTCATTTTCTGGTATTTCTCTTTAGTCTCATCAAAGTGATAGTGCTCAAGTCAAATGAGCACATATAATAAACTTCTTGGAAGGCTATTTGCTAAATGAGTAAAATCCCCTCTAGCTTAAGTATATTCTGATAACGATGAGGAAGGCAATATACAAAAGTGCCTCTTCTTTCTTGGGTTAAATGGACAGCTGTACCTCTGTCTGTAAAAGGTGTGACACATGATATACAAGGTGGTGTCATGAGTGATAAAAACTATCATCATCCATCTTGCTGGTTTCAAGTAAACAATCTCAGTAAATCTACATTAAAATATGAATCACAACATATAATTTTAGAAGAGCACATCTCCTCTAAAGACAGTTACAGACAAGGATTTCACTCAATAATGGCTCAGTAGATAGTTTCCTTGCTTAGTTCAACAGAGAAACTCTAAGATGCTTTGACACACCCCAGGGAAGCCAGTGGTAATTCTTATTCAGTTTTCTGTGAGCAGAGACTTTTGGGTCACCTAGGTAGCAGCAGTTTGTGGGCTTCTGTTTTAAGCAATAATGACCTTGGTTTGCACAACCCACATAGAATGTGCCAAATTCATGAAGTCAGGGCAGTGTGGTAAACAGAGTGTGTGCCAGCTGGATAGAATCTCAACACCCCTTGCGTATGAAGCGTGTTTAGGCAGAGGAACACATATCATCAGCTGTGTTTTGGTATGGACAATGTGGGAAATCAGTTGGAACTATGTCACAGAATCGCCGGCTTCATGGAGGAGGCACCTCTGATGTTGTTTAAGTCAGCCACTTGTTAAAACTGAAAAAAAAAAAATCTGCAAAACAAGAATGTTAAGACACAGCAACAGTCAGAAGAATTTAGAAACAAAGCAGATGCAAGTTTTCGGATGAAGAAGCTAAAATAAAATATTTTTAAAGATTATAGAAGTGATGATGGTTGGGTTTGAACATGAAATTTCTTACATAGTCCTGTCCTTTTACAAAAATTTACTGATCTGCCTAGAAATATCCAGAATCAGCTTTTAGTTTCTAGCAATGAACTCTCATAATGATATTCAGTACTCGGCCATGAAGGATTAAGGTTTTGCCTTAAGGCCAAGCTGAATTATTATGGAAATTTAAAAGTAAAGATTAAATTTTTTCTTTTATGGCTATCTCTGCAGGATATATTTTTATTGAACATGTTCAGGTATACCCTCCAGTAGTGAACTAAATGACAATAATTTAAGATGTTTTATATA